GTGTTTGCTTTTAGCTTAGAAACAGTATGAAGTTGTAGAAAGAATATTACACTTTGAGTCACTTCTGTGGTCAGGCCTATTGTAGACATTTAACTTTGGGGAAGTGAACTGACTTTTCTCAACTCAGTTTCATTTAAACACGGACAACAAAATTTATCTCATAAAGGCATTTTGAGGATAAAAGTGAGATGAAAATGAGAGTTTAGCCATTTTGTAAGTTGCACAATGTGCTCTCCTGCTGTCATCTACAGGAGGATTCCAGGGACAGGTAAAGACGGCACAGGGCTTCTACGCTCTCTAGAATCTTCTTGCAATTCATGTTTACAGCTAACATTCTTAATCTACATTGCTGGCTTTTACCAAGGCAACACTACACTCTGTTGAGTCTAACGACGTTGCCGTGATAACTCCTAGAGGCCATGCTTTATGGATGTTGCATTCACTCATTTTCATGAACGTTTTAAATGGCAAGTATTATAACTGGTGCTCACTTAGCAGCAGGAGAAACCAGGTCAATAGAGGTGATGGAGGTTAGGACAAGACAGATAGGTGAGTACGAAAGGAAGAGCAGGAAGGTAGCTGAAGAGCAAGCAGCAAGCAGGCAGGAAACAGAATATAGCATCAGGAGGGTTTGCCTTTGAGCCACACGCAGAGTTTCGGGCAATCAGGAAGATACAGTCAGGGAGGTTTGCCTGGCACATGGTAGGGGCTCAACCAAAAATTTTTAAAGCATATAATGCATGGACAGGTGAGAGGATGAAGAAAGTCACCTCTGGTATTCAGAGGTAGAGTGATGGGAAGGACTGGGAAGGACTCTTGAAGGGAAAGCTAGTTTCTACCAATACAGCCTTGCATTCTCCTGACCAGTTGCTAAAGATAGCTGTTATGCGGGTCACTGGGGTGAAAGAGAGCCACTCTCTCCTGAAACTTCATGATTTGAATACATCAGAGCCTAAGGAGGAGGGAATAGAGACCACTCCCGTTATCCAGGTGTCCAAAGGGAAAAAAAATACAATTGTTACTATGAATGGTGCATCTTCTTTGGGTCAAGCAAATACTTACTAATCACTTTTGTGTACATTATCTTGCTTAGGCCTTACAAAAGCTTAAAAGGCAGTTATTGTTTCTATTTTTAAAATGGGAAAAATTGAAGATGGATCAGTTCAAGTAACCCAGACAACATCACTCACTAAGAACAGGCAGAGGCAAGATTCAAGGTCTGTATTTCCACTACCAGGTTGTTTCTCTAAACTTATCAGGTTGATTCTGGAAAGTTAAGATGTGGGTTTAGTATTTTTTATATTTCTCTAAGACATTCAAATTTAAAGTAGATGACAAATTGTGGTGACAATAACAGATTCGAAGACATAAGTATTGTCAGCTATCTCACAATAAAACAATAATTCCCTTCCCATAATTATGATATTGAAAAATCAAATTATCTTATTTGGAACGCTATCAATACTTAATTCGATTAAACAAGCCAATCTCCTCAAATTATTGAATGAGGAAACGTACCCTTGGTAGGAAACAGTGAGTCCTGCCACATCAGAATTTTCGCAGCCCAGTGCAAACAGGGAAAGGAATAGGAGGTAACCAAGGACAGATGATCCCAAGTAGAGTTTTGCAGCTCCACACACACTGATTCTGAATTTTTTCATAACTATCCCCCCAGAGAATATTCCAAGGGCCACTGCAGGTATGTTGATGAGACCTGAGGAACAAGAAAAATATGCCATTTTGTGAATCTCTAAAAGAAATATGAATGCATTCACACAAACTTCTAAGGGATTATACTAAACTATGCAATAGTTCCTGATGCATTATTAGACTATTTTCTCATTTTAAGTTATAGAAATACTCAGTCACTATCATCTGCTAATATATATGAAGAGTTCTTGTTGAGTTATGGATTGATGATTGCACAACTGCACAGACTCAGAGTTCTGCCTAACACAACATTTGGTGCAGGTATTAAATCAACAAATACTGAATGAATCAATGAATTGACGTCTTTCTGGTCCAGTCCCAAGATTAATAGGAATAATCAGATAGCAATTAGGTGGCTGTTAATGTTCTTTAAAGTTGTACATAAAAGAATAATAGGCACATGGAAGGTAGGGAATAAAAAAAGTGTTGGTTTCCATTTTCTGAACCAAACAAAAATTGTTTTGTTGGCACAGCCTCTTAGCCGCTTAGTTTGTTATCTTTCCTGACAACAACAAAAACAACCACCACCTATATTTATTATTTGCTTTTAATGTACCAACCATTAGCTAAGCATTTGGCATATTATCTATCACATTTGCTCTTCACCACAATCTTCAGAAAGTGATTTGTTCACGGTCATGGACAGCATGTGGTAAAACCAGATTTGAATGCAGAAAGTCTGATGTCAACTCCCATGCCTTCAATCACTATGTTACAGTGCCTCTCCTTTGAGAGTTTTGGGAGATGGTATCCTTGATAAATAGATGTGCAACCTCGCTAGTAATCACATAAGCGTGAGTGAAAAGTCTAGGAAGAGTCCAGCAGAATGGTTGAGAGTTTGAACTCTGGAGACCCAATTGCTTGGGTTTGGATTTCAGTTCTACCTCTAAATAGCTGCACAACTGCAGGTAATTCTCTGAACATCTCTAAAACTGTCTCGTCACCTATAATATGGAGCTAATAATAGGCTGTTGATTAAATGATATTTTTCATGAAAAGTTATTAAGGTCACATCTGGCACCAAAATATCATTCAATTAATTTCTATCTATTTGATTTATAAAGATAAAATTTTGGGGGTGGGGTGGAGAGGGGAAACTCTGTGTTGGAAAAGACCTGGAGAAAGGCTCTTCCTGCCCTGTTCGTGGGACTGTAAATGATATAACTGTAGGGCAATCTGGCACTCAACAATAAACACCTTCCGTGCTAACTAGGGAAGTTATCAAAGCATAAATATTAATCTTACTATGCTGACTTAGCAGCAAGAAAAATAATGTTTCCTTTTATAAGTACCTTTCCGCAAATAATTCTCTTAATTTTTCTTTATTTTCTGTGTAACACCTCCAGGAACTAAGAATAATAAGTATTGCTGTCAGTGTATCATTTCTATTAGGTACTGTCTTGTTGAATAAAAAATATTCCAAAAAATTAAGCAAAAATAATTGCAGTCTGTATTGAGAAAGAAAAGATCATTTGTATGTAGCTTAATAATGATAAAAGAAGCTTAAAGAGAAAATTCCACTGTCTACCCAAACTTCTTTCAGTAGAAACTGCAGTGGAAAAATTTTTATTGAAACATAATTGATTATAAATATTTGTGGGGTACAGAGTTGCATATCAATACCTGTGAACAATATGTGATGATCAAATCAGGAGAATTAGTATATTCATCATTACAAAACATAATCATTCTTTGTGTCCATTAACCGACTTCTCACTGACTCTGTCTCCCTCTTTCCCATCTCTAGTAATGGAAATTTTGAAAAATACTCACAAACTTAAAACAGCTAAATCATTTTGCCATATACTTTCTAGACCTTGAATTTGAAACATTTTGGCTGTTTTTCTTTAATTCCCTTCACAAGTTTAAAATAATTAATATGAGAAAAATGCTATTTCTAAACATTAAAAAGAATATGGCTGACATTTAAAGACACGTACAGCAAAAGTTAGTTGTCATGGTGATGATGGTTGGCCCTTGCACATGTAGGGAAATTTCTGTTTATTCTTTCCTCCATGTCATGTCAAATGACTTCCCGGAGAGTAGAAGGGAAATATGCATCCTTTGCTCCTATCTCCTATTTACCACAGGGAGATCATTCTCCATAGCCCAAATTACAAAATGAAAAAGAAAAGAAAGAGGGGTAGGATAGAAGAAAAGAAAGGAAATGAGAAAACAATATTTATTGAATGATAGCTTATATGAATTTGCCATGCATTTTATACATCTTACGTCTACATTTCAATCTAGAGATATATTTGTTTTTATTGCTCTACAGATAATCAAAGTAAGTGTGAGGGATATTGAAAAATTTGCCCACTCAACCTTACTTTGCTGCAACCCATACCTACAAATGTGAAACCAAGATGTTCTCAGGAAGGTATTCTAACTATAATGATATGGAATTTTTAGACACTATTACTTATCTATCAAGGAAGTATTTGAATTGTCTATAAACATGACATGTCAGAAACAATGAAGAATAGAGTTTCAGGCAGCCTTTGATACATGGTTAAAAAATTTCCGATGATGAGTTTGTTTGGACCAAATAGTTCATTTGAGTCTGCAGAGAAGGGTCATGGATTAAAACAAATCAATCAGCCACAGTTTAAAAGAGAATTATTAGTTTGACTCTTCTTTTCAGTTTTCCAAAAATAATCATATCCAGTGAGGGAATATAACTCAGAAACTCAGGGGAAATACTTTTATTCCTGGCTATGTCATAATGTATGCATAAGATACATATGTATAATATCAAGCAGGCCATTGAATCTCTCAGAACTTTAGGTTCTATCATCTGTGCTAATTATTCTTAAAAATAATTTTATAGGGCCGGCCCGGTGGCGCACTGGATTGTGCGCCGCTTGGGAAGCGCAGCGGCGCTCCCACCCGAGGGTTCGGATCCCACATACAGACCGGTTCCTGCTCACTGGCTGAGCGAGGTGCGGGAGCAATGCCGAGGGTTGCAATCCCGTTGCCGGTCCCTGGTCCGGTACGGGGGCAACACTGAGGGTTGCGATCCGTTGCCGGACACGGAAAAAGACAAAAGACAAAAAAAATAAATAAATAAATAATAATAATAATAATAATAATAATACTTTTATAGACAAAAGTATTTCAATTAATATCGACCCAATAAAGAAATGTGATTATATATAATGTCATTTTCTATTATAAGCACCTTTCCGTAAATAATGTTCTTAATTTTCCTTTGTAAAAAAAACTTTTCAATTTAAAATAAAAACTTATTCACCATTCCAGTGAGAGCAAAATTAAATGCCCCCAAATCTCAAAGTGTTATGCACATGTCGAATAATGGGAAATAAACATATAGTGAAAGATGTCTCTTCACTGCAATTCATGGCAAAAAAGATGGTATTTTCATTTTGATATATGAAACTTGACCCTCTCCTTCACATTATGCAAAAAATTGATTTAAAATGGATTATAACTTAAATGTGAAAATTAAAACAATTAATCTAGTAGTAAAAATCTTGGAAAAATATATTTATGACCTCAGGGTTTGACAGAAATTTGTTAAAACAAGATCAAAATAACAGTCATGGAAAAAAAGTGATAGAAAATTGAACTTAATTAAAGATAAGAATAGCACCATAAGGAGAATGAAAAGGTAACTTGAAGGGTGTGAGAAAATATTTGTGACATGTACGTTCAATAAAGAACTTGTATCAAGAAAAATATACAGTACTCTTGTAAACCAATAAGAAAAAGATTAATAGTCCAATAAAAATGGCAAATAACTTGAACAGAATTTCCAAAAGAGAATGTTGAAATGACCAATGAGCCTATGTAAGGTGTTCAACATCAACAGTCAACATGTAAATGCAAATTAAGCCACAGTGAGATACCACCACCACATGCCAAGTGGCCATACTACTCAAAGTGATGTACAGAGTCAATGCAATCCCTATCAAAATACCAATGAGTACAGGCCAGTTGACAAAAAACAGAAACAAAAATAAAAAACAAACAACAAAAACCAATGACATTCTTCACAGAAACAGAAAAAACAATCCTAAAATTCATATGGGACCCCAAAAGACCCTGATAGCCAAAGCAATCCTGAACAAAAAGCACAAAGCTAGAGGCATTACACTGCCTGACTTCAAAATGTACTACAAAGCTATAGTAATCAAAACAGCATGGTACTAGCATAAAAACAGACATAAGGACCAATGGAAAAGAAAAGAGAACTCAGAAATAAATCCATGTACCTATAGCCAACTGATCTTTGACAAAGGCATCAAGAACATACATTAGGTAATGAACAGCCTCTTCAATAAATGGTGCTGGGAAAACTGGATATCTGTGTGTAGAAGAATGAAACTTGACCCCTGTATCTCACAATTTACCTAAATAACTCAAAATGGATTAAAACTTAAATGTAAGACCTGAAACTATAAAACTTCTAGAAGAAAACACAGGGGAAACACTTTAGGACATAGGACTCAGCAAAGATTTTATGAATAAGACCTCAAAAGCACAGGCAAGGAAAGCAAAACTAGACATATGGGATTACATCAAACAAAAAGGCTCTGGCCAGCAAACAAAAATAAAAAACAACAACCAACAGTGCAAAGAGGCAACCAGCAGAATGGGAGAAAATGTCTGCAAACTATGCACCCAACAAGGAATTAGTATCCAGATTATACAAGGAATTTAACAGCAAAAAGATGAATAATCCAATTTAAAAATTGGGCAAAGGAGCTGAATAGACATTTCTCAAAAGAAGACAAACAAATAACCATCAGGTATCTGTTTGACATCACTAATTATTAAGAATATGCAAATCAAAACCACAATGAGATATCATCTCACTCCTGTTTAGGATGACTATTATCAAAAGGACAAAAAATAAGGAGGCAGAGAAAACGGAAACTCTTAAACACTGTTGGTGTTAATGCAAATAGTACAGCCATTATATAAAACAGTATGGAGGTTTTAAAAAAAACTAAAAATAGAACTACCATATGGTCCAGCTAGATATTTATTTAAAGAAAATGAAATTACCCTACTGAAGAGATACCTGCACCCTCATGTTTATTGCAGCAATATTCATGTAATCAACACAGTTGTCCATTGACAGATGAATTGATAAAGAACACATGGTAGATATACACAAAGGAATACTACTCAGCCATGAAAAAAGAATGAAATTTTGTCATATGTGGCAATAAGTCATATATGGCAATATGACATACATGAACCTAGAAGACATTATTTTAATTGAAATTTATCAGGCACAGAAAGGTAAATACTGCAGGTTCTCACTCATATGTGGGAGCTAAAATAATAATAAGTTGAACTCTTAGAAGTAGAGAGTGGAACTGTGGTTGCTAGAAGCTGGAAAGGGGACATTGGTGGGGAAACAGAGAGAGGTTCCTTAATGGACACAAAATTACAGCTAGATAGGAAAAATAATTTCTAGTGGTGTACAGTAATGCTATGCATTTATAATTAACAATAATTTATTGTATGTTCCCAAATGGCTAGAAGAAAGGAGCTCAAATGTTCTTATCACAAAGAAATGATAAGGTTTTATGATGATGAATATGCTAATTACCCTAATTTGATCATTACACATTGTATACACATATTGAAATATAACTCCACACCCCATAAGTATATACAATCAATATGTTTCAATTAAAAAATAAATTCCTTAAAAAAAAAGATAAGAAAAGAGTTGATAAGGATACAGAGCAACTGCAATGCTCTTCATTTCTAATAGGAGTATAAATTTGCACCACCACCTTGTGTTTCACCAATATCTATTGGATCTAAATACCCTCTGTGACTCAGCAATTGCACTAGAGTCAAGCCAGAAAAATGAGCCCACCGATGTATAAGTACATGTAGAATGGTCACAGCAGCATTATTTATAATATCCAAAAGCAGAAACAACCCAAATGTTCATCAACAATAAAATGAATAAATAAATTGTGGTATATTGATGTAACAGAATATTACACAGCAATGAAAAATAACAAACCACTGCTATACACAACAACATAAATGAATCTCATAGATTTCACTTCTATTGAAGTCAGCTATACACAAAAGAACACGTATTTTTCAATTTATATGAAGTTCAAAACAGACAAAACTATGTGATGATAGAGCTCAGAATAGTTATTAGCTTTGGGGAAAAGCATTGACTGGAGGGAGATTTGAGGGAGCCTTCTGGGGTACTAAAATGTGCTATAAGTTCTGGATGGTGGTTGCTTCACAGACACATATTTAAAAATTTATACAGCTGAGCTGTACATTTAAGGTCTGTAGAATTAACTGTTAAATGTATGTTTTACCTCAATAAACAAATAAAAATTAATATAAATGAATATTTCTCAACTTTCATTCTTTGTCTATTCTTCTTAAAGTCAATATGAAGAATTTATTGAAATGGATGGGGTATTGGGAAAAAACTAAAATATTTCTTCAGATCAACCATTAAACAATAAAATTAAATTAATCTGAACCAGTTAATGTTGAAAGTAAAAGAGTTCAGTTATGTAACCTTAACATCTAGAATTTTGGAGAAAAGTAGTCCAAACAAATAGTCAATTATATTAGCATCTACTAAATGTCTATTATGCAGAATGGTAATAGGAAAATTATATCTCCTAAAATACCCTCAGCTGTCTCTCCCTGCTCCAGGTCTCTTTCAGATAGATAGAGCGATTTTTAAAATATTTTATGAAGAAAATTATTTTAAACTATTTGCGTTTCCTATCATAGAGGAACATGTCTAAAGAAGTAGAATATATTTTATGCCCAGAAACAGTAACATTAAATGACACCTTCATGGACTAAAAGGAACTAATCCAAGTTTTAAAAGTATCCAATTACTTCCAGGGCAGTGCTCATGTATTTGTAGATTTGTTTCCTCTTCATTCTTCATTCTTTTCTTGGCCCTTGAATACCTTTCTCATTATGAGCTGTACTGCTGTGCTAGAAACACAACCTTTTTAAATAACCCAGTTGTCTGGAGTCAGAACTAAGTCCTTTGACTCTGAGCAAATACGAGTTTTATTTTGTGACAAACATTTTTAACCTGTCTAAATGCCTATTTTATATAATCCTAGAAACTGTTTATGTAAAATGGTCATTGTTGTGAGATTTCGGCTATACTTGAAACATGAATATCCAGTATTAGCAATTTCCTAATAAAATGTACGTTTGTTCTATATATTACTTCTTCAAGAACTATTCTCTCTCTAGGCCACTCAACCACAGTTGTGAATAATTCTCTCTACAAAGTTGTGCCACAGACTGTCTAAACATTTTACTCTGCTAGATTTTTTTCACTTACTTTTTTACTTCATCTAAAGTGCCCTAAATTACCTTCAGTCTAGATATTGGAACGATCTTCTCTATGATTACTACGTGTTGGCCAGGTGAACCTAAGAGAAAGCCATGGGAAAGCATGGGACAGATGAACATACCGATAACGAAGTTGGCCTTGGAGGACGACTGCCCGTACTGTTGCTCGATGTACTTTGGTTTATATGTCACCATGCCAAATAAAGAATTAAACTGAACGGTGCTTGCACACAAATATAAGAAGTACACTGGATTTCCAAAAAGATTCTTCAATGAGGGGATAGTGTAAACCTCTCATTACACAGATGGTAAATTTAAGACCCACTGAGGTTAAGTCAGCAGGATGTTATTTATTAAATGGTGGTTAATAATACTTCAGAGCTATTCTAGGTCTGAAGCAAGATTTGTAAATTTAAGTAACTTCAATATCTTATTCATCATAAAAAGTTTATTTTTGACACCATTTCTCACTTGACTAAGAAGTAAGCATTGACAGTTTTTTGAATAAAACCAAATGGGTTGTTTTTTTGTGTTGTTTTTTTCTGTGTAAGAAACAATAAAACATATCACTACTGTCTACCTCCACCACACTCTATGAGAACAGCAAATAAACAAATGTCCCTTGACAAGTAGGCTCAATACCAGGTTATCACTGCATGTTAATTGTGTTCCTTTAACAATTTTCCTCTGTATCACACATCACACCTATACTTCTTTATATCAGTTTCCAAAACTGAATTTTAAACTTCATGCAGTCAAGGAACACAACTATTTTTTCACTGCTACAAAATAGCACCTCGGATAGAGTAAATGTAAAATAATTTAGCGGGGGGTGAATAATGAATAAATAAAATTTTGGGAAGATGTTTTGCAGTTGATTTGATTTGAAAAGTGCAAGAATTCTGCATTGTGGACCGACCCTGTGGCTCACTCGGGAGAGTGCGGCGCTGGGAGCGCCGAGGCCGCGGGTTCGGATCCTATATAGGGACAGCTTGTGAGCTCACTGGCTGAGCGCGGTGCGGGCGACACCAAGCCAAGGGTTCCAGTCACACACAAAAAACAAAATAATAATAATAATAATAATAATTTTGCATTGTGTTTTAACATACAATGACTTCAAAATGCAATTTCAGATTTTTTTTTTTTTTTTTGGTGAACCATTTTCTTTTTTCTAACTGCTTTCTTGGATTTCTTTTTTAAAAAAAACATAAATACTGTCTATTTCTAGCGGGTGCATCTCACAGGGATAGAAAGAAATTAATAGCAATGGAAAAATCAGTTCCCTATTTGTTTCCTATACAAGCAATCTCCCAGAAGGAAAGCCAGTCTCACTATCATGTGCCTCCACCTAAAAAAAGACTTGTACTGCAAAAAAAGAAGGGAAGTGGGGTTGACAGAAGACTTCCAATTGGTCTTCCTGGCAAGTCCCCAAATACATTATCAATTGATGTAACTGTAATAAATGTTGACACACCTGAAACCAACAAGGGTCAACAGGAAGCCACAGTTTTCAGTCTTAAGTATGCTGGGATGCTTTTGAACTGGCAAACCAGAAGAGAGAAAGGATATATCCTAATAACAAACCATGGGTCATCCAGTTCTAATCACCATCTGTTTTTCCTCTTCCATTGATTAATGCATGTGACAATTATATCAATAATAAGTTTTCCATGGATTTTTTTTCATTTTATGAAAGAATACTACCCTGGCCTTTTATTTAAAAAAGGAATCTGATATTTTACACTGTCCCCCTTAAAAAAGTTATGGTAACTAAAATAAATTAATAAATAAAAATAAACTCCCTTACCTAGGTTTACAAAGCCAATGTCAACATACAGTTTGGCACATAATGAGCCCAACAGGAAGCCAAAGATCGGTCCTATAATTGCAACTGTCTGCACACACCCTGCACCAAACAACAACAAAAAAGACATCAAAGAAAAAGTGCTGCTATTTCTGTGCTTTGATAAATTTATAAAATTTTAAACAGGAAAATGTTTCAACTCCTCATTTGTGTGTGTTTAATTTATCAATTTTTCAACCACATTGAATCAGGTGAACAAGTCTTCTCTGCTTTGGGAGAAGAATGAACACTTTTAAGTCATTAATTACTTCTTAATAGGAAACTATCACCAAGACTCTGAAAAAGTTAATTTCTGAAAATGGGGCAAACTTTATCCCCTAGGATTAGATATAATTTGGAATTACACTAATTTTGATAGTCTTTCAAAAACTTTTTATGATCAGTTAAGCACAAGACTTGTCCTGACATTAAAATTGATTTCTTCCCCCTTAGTGGAAAAGCACATCCATTCACTCAGAGGTGCTGCAGGACTGTTTGTGAGAGTCGGACCCATCAAGATCTTTGGACGCAGCTAGCAAAGGAGCTAGTCTTTGGAGCAAGGAAAGTGCTCGGGAAGGCTCACGACTAGTCAGAGCAACCTTCATGGGTAAGTGGAACAGATTGCCTGAAGGACACCATTTCTAGTAACCAGAAAGGTAGCTGTCCCTTGCAAAATATCTCTCATTTGCCTTTCATTTTATCACTGAGCTTAAAATACACATATTTTGGCGAGATTAATTTAAATTAACTGGAGGAGTAAATAGCAGTTACCAGATCCTTTTCAGAATAGAAGAAAGGGCAAAGAGAGTGAGCAGGCTCTTGAGCTCCTGGGGACACCTAGGCACCTGCATGCTTTTCCTGGCTGCAACCTCCCCTCCAGTCCACAGACCAGTTGCCTAGCACATGTGATGAAGCTTTTGTTCCAGTTCTAGTTCTTGATTTATATGGCAGTTTTCCATTAGAGCAAGAACCCTAGTCTTAAGTATAGCCTGCTTGGCTGTAAGCAGAACACCCTGGAGTTCTGCAGTGCCAGGACAGGACTATACAGTAGACCTAGCTATAGCCTCTCTCCATGAATTTAAATTTCATGCTTATCTCCCTGAACATTAGGCCTTCAAAAGATCAGAACTCCAAGAAAGCAAGACTAATGTGTGAATCAGAGAACAAGTCTTCGTAATCCCTATATCTCTAGTTTCTAGCTTAATTCCAGGACATAAGAGGCACCCAATAAATGCTTCTTAGATGCATATGACCTTGGGGTTTGCCTTTGCCTTATTATTTTGGTTTTTGTGACTTCAGCTGCTGGTCTACCCTTTGGGATCTGTTATAGAGATGGTGTAGCCTCAGGCCTGGCTCTGATCCTTTTTATACTTCTTTATCTATTTCCACCTGCTGTCAAGATTCCAGAATTCTTCATTGCCTATCCCTCATAGGAAAAAAAAAAAAAAGATGCTTTGAATAATGAGGGCTTATAAAATGGAAAGCAGTTTCTAGGGTTTTCTTTATCTATTTCCACCTGCTGTCAAGATTCCAGAATTCTTCATTGCCTATCCCTCATAGGAAAAAAAAAAAAGATGCTTTGAATAATGAGGGCTTATAAAATGGAAAGCAGTTTCTAGGGTTCTGGAAAGAAAATTTAAAAATTATAACACTTCAATGCTTCAGTAGTATCATCATCCCACTAAAAAGAACTTATGAGATCTGAAGCCCATGAAGATACTTTTTTGAGGTCATACATCATTGTAGTTGAGCTCATAGTTATTTTCTTTTCATCTGGTGTTCTTCCCCTAATGCAATAAGTCCTCCTAACTGAGGTTTCTTCATCATCCAAATCCTAATTGCACTTCAGAAATGTGTGAGCTGAATGAAGGAGTTGGATATGAAGTATAAAACCTTCCACACCCAATTCAGTACAGAATGGAGTTGAGAAAAACCAGGTGCCCTGCGTCTCAGGAAGATGAGTGAAGTGGGCATTACCAATATAGAAAGCTGCATTGTCTTCACTGGCAAAATCATCCAGGTAGGCGATGCCTAAGGGCTGAATGGGGGTTTCTCCTATTCCACGAAGAAGATTTCCCAGGAAAACATAAACCCACATGGAGGAGCTGGCATCAATTTCACATTCTTGAAAGAAAAGCAAACAAGAGGATGGAAATGATCACTATCAAAGTTATTTATTCTACATTTCTACAATTTGTCTTAAAACTGGATGAGAATGCAGGAGGGCCATTTGCAATAGTCATATCTTGATAGGACTTTGGGCAAGAGTGGAAAGTGTTTTGTAACCTCGATCTTTTATTTTTTCATTTTAACTTACACATTGTAATTATACATACTTGTGGGTACAATCTGATGTTTTGATACATATATATAACGTATAATAATCCGGTCAGGGTAGTTAATGTATCCATCACTTCATGCATTTATCATTTCTTTGTGGTGAAAACATTCAAAAGCCTCTCCTCTAGCTACTATGCAATGTATGGAACTTAACTGTTAACCATAGTCACCCCGTTGTGCAACAGGGCACCAGAACATATCCTGCCTATCTAATTGTAATTTTGTACCTGTTGTCTGGCCTCTCCTTGTGTTCCCTCTCCAGTCTCTGATAACCATTGTTCTGTTCTCTTCCTCTATAATGTCAACTTTTTTTTTTCTTAGATTGCACATGTGAATAAGTCATGGGAGGTGCCTGGCTTATAACTTCAATCTTTTAGGCAGTGTACATCCTCCAGAGACTGGACCATGGAATTTTCTTGCTTCTTGTTCCTGTTGCTTTTACTTTTTTTCAGTCCTTTTTATTTTGCACCTATGCTGAGCTATGTGAATTCCTACACTCTAATAACACCTAATATCCTATCTGAGGCAAAACACAAATTTTGAACAAAGGCTTTCTCACCTTAATTGTAAGGTTTTTAAATTTTTCAGCAAAAATTATAAGTAATTCTGTTATTGACCAAGTTTTATCTGAAATTCAGATTTTTAACATTGGATAGTATTGCTTAGAATTTATGTTTGTTAGTGAATAGCCATTTTTAGGACTTTGGAAACAAATTCATATAGAAATTCTAAACCCGATGTGCTTTAGCAGTATAATTACTCCAACAAAAAGAACGTTTTTGACAGCATTTTAAGAGTAAACTTTAAAGCTAACAATTTCAAAATACTTTCATAAAAGTCATGTCTTAATAAGATCATGTAAAGTAGGATAATTACCTCCACATCATAAATGAAATATAGCTTTGAAGAATTTAGCCACTTTATTAAAATTGGTAATGTTAACAACGTCCAACAATCACTGCTTCTGAATGCTCCCTCTCTGCCACATCCTGGGCTAAGTGGTTTGCAGGCATTTTTAAATGGAATCCTTCTAACAACCCTATGAGGTAGGAGTTATTTTTGCCTGTTAATAACTCCTAAGGTAATATTTGATTGTGAAGTATGGGGTATTTGAAGGACTGAGGGGTTTTAGAGGAAATATACGCTGACAGGGACCTGATTACACCCAGGGCCCCTCTACCACAGTTGCCCCCTAGTGTTACATACGCTGCCTAGAACGTAAACAACCCCTGGGAAAGGATGGAGGTTAGGGACAAATGGAGATTAAGTTTTTACCACTCTGATGAAAAGGAGGTGAACACAAAAATTACTTTGACTTATGGGGGAAATTACATTTCTTTTATATCTGAGCAATGGACTGAGATTTGTACATGCTAAACTAGTTTTATCATGCTTTAAAGGCCTGCCTTATTCGGAACCACTAGAATATTTTCCCAGTCACCAGCAATTAATGCT